CATTGACCTTTATAAACATTGACTTCCTTAGGTAGGAGACTAAGATACAGGTGGAGAAGAGATTTTCAAGGAAAGAAAGTGCACGAGGAAATGAAAGTCGAGACAGGATCGGGAAGTTTTTTCCTATTACAGTTCAGACGTAGGAAAAAGAATACTATATAGATAACAAGCAGCTTAACTGAGTGTTTTATTTTGAGAGATTCCATATCCACTGGAATAATGGCAGGATTGTGACCTTTGACACCAGACAGACAGGGGTTCAATGCCCAGGGCTTAGCTTCCTATTTGTGTAGCCTCAGCATTTGAACCTCCTTGGGGCTCAGTTTCCTTATCAGAAAGCAAAGATGGTGTGTTTCTCTCAAGTAGTTCTGAGAATTAAATTAGATATAATTTTTGAAAGCTAGTGCCGATTAGGCGCTTAATAAAGGCAGTTTCCCTTCCTTCTTTCTCTTCTGCTTTTAAAAATTAAGATTTGGGTGTCCTAAAAATAAAGCAAATAATAAAATGTATTTCAGTGTGGAATGCAGGCCAGTTAAAGGAGAAAGGCCAGAGAAGGAAAGGAAATGCACGTGGGAACAAGCCGGAAGAGGGCTGGTTCCCCAACTTTGTGCAAATCCAGCAGGCTTCACAAATGAAATAAAAAATATTCTTTAAATTAAAAAAGAAAGAAGGAAAAAGGTTTCAAAAACATCGTCCGAGTCTGTTAGCCAAATATTTCAGGCTCCGTCTGGAGATTGGAAGCCAGGAATTTTGGAAATGCTACCCTGTGTTCATTTTTAGTGGTAGAAACCTCAAACATCCTGCTGAGGAGAGTGGGGGTGGCCGCCATGTTTTTTGGTCGAGAAGAGGGCTGTTTCTTTCTCTGGATGGGTGCTGCCATCTGATGTCTCTCAGTGGCAGTGCGGCTCCACCTCTGGCTCTTAGGAGCTCGAGGAAATTAAACTGCGAGTCAGGGGTTCTTGTTTCTGGCTTGAGACTTCAAGGATGAAGGTAGGTGACTGAATTTTTAAAACCGAGTTAGCTTATATATACATTTTTTTTTGTAGTGGTAAAGAATTTCCTCCCTACATTTTTCTTCCTTTTTATTCTTATAAAGCTTTCCAATAGTGTTGCTGGATATCGAATCACCAGATAGCAGGAACACTGTAGGATGCTATGACTCCAACCTTTTTCCTGCCTTTTCTTTGCTTTCTAGGGGATTTGTGGTGGAGATACCATGCCATCTGATTCTAGCCCTTGAAGTTCTGAGTAAAACACTTGTAAATATTTTCCTCAGTATTTGCAACTTTATTATTTTCTTTTAAACGTATCTTTCCCATTTCTCTCTTGTTATTGTGGAGATGTTTGCTTAGCATAATTTGCTGAAACGGTTGGGAAATAGGCTAGGGTTTGGGAGAGGTGGAGATGACATGAGACCCAAACAGAGCCCTGAGGTACTTTTGGACAAGGGTAAAAAGTAAAGACGGTTTACGGATCTGTTCAAAGAAAGTGTGAACCCATAGCTGTGGTGATAGTTTTCTTCTGGTGTGAGTGCGGCCAGGGGAAGCGGGGTGGGAGGGAGGAGAAATGTGGCTTGAACAGTCTCTTGACATGCCAAGCTTAATAGACTGGGGTGGAGTTAGCCTGGTGGGCATTCCAGGTGGGCAAATAGCACTGGTATTGCAGTCCATGAAAATCCTAGTATTTTTATACCTGCCACAGCACCAATGGATGTGATTTATCAATTGCTCAAGTAAATACTAACTGAATAAATGAGTAGGTGGGAACAGAGGACCTGGAACAGCAGAGATTAGAAGTGTGCTAGGGGTGCCCGAGGAGATGCATTACAGGATGGCTGAGGAACACGAGCACTCTGGAGAAGGAAGGCAGGGTGAGTCTCCAAAGTGCTGGGTCTGATTCCTCCCCTTCCACCAGCAGACCCAGGCCTGGGAGCAGCCGGGCCCCTGCTAGGGAAGCAGCCCGTGACCCTGTACGTGAGCAGAGGATTCAGGTTTGTGGTGGTGGAGGGGCTGCCGAGTTCTGGCCTGTTGTTAGACGACCAGTGGAAGTCACTTCTCAGAGAGGAGTTGGCAAGAAAGAAGCTGGTGAGAAGGGTAGCTAGCAGGCTGGGGACAAGGAGGGTGCGTTTGGGGGTTGTGAGCACAAAGCTTGACTCTTGGGAGGTTGGGCAGTACCTTGTGAAGGCGGTTCATGACATACATGGCAGAGATGGAAGTCAGTGGAGTCAGAGGAGATGAGGAACGGGGAGGTAGAGGCCATAGGTCATGAGTCCCAGGCAGAGCGTATCTGGAAGGAGGAGGGGGAGCATGCTGTAGTCCTAAGAAACACCGACTTTGAAGGTAGCAGGTCCTGGGGTCCCTGCTGTGGCCTTTTACCAGCTTTGACCCTGGTCAAGTCTCTTAATCTCTCTGAGCTTTTGATTTTTTGAGAGCAGAACAAGGATGAATGCTGATGATACCCGTGGAAGGACAGAATGCCAGTGCAGCACTTAGAACAGAGTCTAGCACATAGGAAACTCCTAAGTGTTAGGCATGAGTATACTGTCTCTGCATGTAGAGGAGGTATTCAGAGGTGAGCCCTCCCAATGACCTGGGAGTTAGATCTTATTACCTAATGGGGAAAACAAGGGACCGTTCATCATCTTTTTAAGAATACAAACGGTGAAGTCTAATACAGAGTTATTTAGAAGGCTGTGCCCAAAATGTTCATTTCCACTGAGGCTGGAACTAGATTGGACTTCCTCATGATGATGCTACCTTGCATTTCTGTCACACTTTATGGGTTGTGAAGAGCTTCTACAGGCACTGCCATTCTCATTTGCTGCTCCAAGGTGCTGGTGAGGGGAGTATTAACGTTGTGATTTATAGATGAGGAAACAGGCTCTGAGTGGGGACTGACCTTGCGGCCTGAGGACAGATCTGTGTTTTCCCTGCATCTCAGTTGGCAGGGAGGCTGTAGGTTAGCGGAGGGATTTCCCAAGAGCAAGCTTGTTGACTGATTTAGATCACTGAGGGACCTGTAAGATAGAGTTCCTCTTTTCTGGAGTGGTGTAGGTTTCTGAAGGTGAAGGGGTGGTCCAAAGGACCTCTGATGGCCCCACCTAGCCCTGGGGCTCATTGAATGCCAGGGTGGTTAGGACCCTCCTCACAGGCAGGAGGATTTTGACTAATGAAGCATCACACCAAGGTTTCTAGTTTTTTTTTTTTTTCCTCTTTTTTTTTTTTTTTTTTTGGTGAGGAAGATTCGCCCTGAGCTCACATCTGTTGCCAATCTTCCTCTTTTTGCTTGAGGAAGATTGGCCCTGAGCTAACATCTTTGTCTGTCTTCCTCCATTTTGTATATGGGATGCTGCCACAGGATGGCTTGATGAGCAGTGCATAGATCTGTGCCTGGGATCCAAACCTGTGAACCCCAGGCCGCTGAAGCGGAGCATGCGAACCCAACCACTATGCCACCAGGCCGGCCCCCCAAGGTTTCTAGTTTTGATCTCCCTAGCTCTTCCCCTCTGTAACAATGCAAGGATAGCCCTACCCAGTTCCCTGCTTTCTGGAGTGTGACAGATGGGGGTGCACTGACACCTCAGAGCATGCTGGAATGGTGTATGCCATTTTCAGAACAGCTCCTGTTCATCATGGGATGAATGCACTGAGGCCTGGAATGGTCTTTCTTGTTCAAGTCAGGGCTGTGGTCCTACGTTTCCATCACCCTTGAGTGCGTTAGTGGCCTGACCCCGGGTGCTGTTGGAGGTGGTGTGCGGGCAGCTCAGAGACCTAGATTTGGAGTCAGGAGACCAGATCTCATTCAGGCCGTGGCACCGACTCCCCTCATTGCTGTGGACAAGTTGCTTAAGCTCTCGGCGTTAGTTTCCTCAGGTGTGAGACGAGGAGAGGAGAGGCAGCATGGCTCATGGTGGCTCTTTGCAGCTTTGAAGCCAGTTGAGCTTGAGAATCTGTGGGTATCCCACAGATGTCCTCATGTTTGACTTAGCAATATCACATCGAGGAACTTGACCTAGGAAGTGGTCGTTGGTGTTTGTGTGCTGAGGTTAAGCTCAGAGATGCTCCCTGTGGGCAGAGCAGTTTAAACAGCACAACACTGGATATAGCCTTTAGGTACAATAATAAAGGGTCTGTTAACTTAGTGATGATGTGTCCGCCTAAGAAAATACTGTGTGGCTTCTAAAAGTGTTTTTATACAGTAACATTTAATGATATAGTAAAACCTACACAAGATACCAAGTGACAATTCAGTTTACCAAACTATGATGCTGTTTTAATAGGAGTGAAGGTATGTAAATACACGTATAGAAGAAAGCATGGAGTACTATGTAGGGAAAGTGGGTATCTTTGGGAGGCAGCTTTTTGAGTGATTTGTTTTTCTTTGTGTTTATCGGTATTTTCTAAATGTCCTACTAGAATTGGGTATTACTTTTTTTTTTTTATTTACATTTTAATAGTTTTTAACATTGTGAAATTTTGGGTTGTACGTTTTTGTCCATCACCATATATATGACTCCCTTCACCCCTTGTGCCCACCCCCCCACCCCCATTGCCCCTGGCAACCACAATACAGTTTTCTATGCCCATGTGTTGGTTTATATTCCATATATGAGTGAGATCATACAGTGTTTGTCTTTCGCCTTCTGGCTTACGTGAATTAACATAATACCCTCCAGGCCCATCCATGTTGTTGCAAATGGGACGATTTTGTCTTTTTTTATGGCTGAGTAGTATTCCATTGTATATATATACCACATTTTTCTTGATCCAGTCGTCAGTCGAGGGGCACTTAGGTTGCTTCCACTTCTTGGCTATGGTGAATAATGTTGCAGTGAACATAGGGGTGTGGGTATTACTTTTGTAAAAAGAAAAAAATTGTAAAAGTTACTTTGAAATATTTCATCCATTTTAATGGATGCTCACGGGCTCCTGCTGCATGTAGGGCTTCCTGGTTCCTCCTGATAATGGATAAAGGACTCCGTATCCCCTTTGCCTCCCCAGGAAAGGCAGCAGCATGGCCAGTGTGCTGTCCCGGCGCCTTGGTAAGCGGTCCCTCCTGGGAGCCCGGGTGTTGGGGCCACCCGGGACTGCCCCACCCTCGGAGGCTCAGGCGGAGCTGCTGGAGGGGGCTGCTCCCCATCCCTTCCTCGCCTCTAAGGACACTTCCTGCCAGGAGCAGCCCAAGGAAGTCTTTAAGGCTCCCAGCACCTCAGGCATCCAGCAGGTGGCCTTTCAGCCTGGCCAGAAGGTAGGTTGGTCCCTGAGTGGATGATGTTTGATCTTCTCGGGCTTGGGGCTGGCGGGCCAGCTGTGCCCCAAGTGACAGGCCAGAAACCCTCTGGGCACCAGTTTGCGCACAGACCTTTTCCTTGCAGCCATGTGGGCCCTTGGACAGCAGCCTTCCTGAGAAAATGAGCCATCATTAGCAGATCCCAGGCTCCTGCATGCCAGTGCTGTGTGGAGGAAAAGCTGGAAAGACCTGACATCTGACATTCTGGGCATAGGCCTACTCAGAACCTCAGTTCAAAGCATGGCCAGAGCTCAGTTTCTCTTAATCTGCCTCAGTTTGCAACTTTACAAAAACAAGGGGAAGAATCTCAGGTATAAGAGACAGATAAGATTGTGTCTTTGAACTACCTTGAGACATTTTCAAGAGACAAAGATGTTTGTTTAGTCAGAATGCCATTTGGATTTCCTTTTCCAGTGTTCTCTCCCCTTGTAGCAGGGCCCCATCATCACCTGTGCCTGGTATTATCACTAGATCCAGGTGGATGGGCTTGTGTCTCCCCTTGCCTTCTCAAGGGCCAATAAATAGAGACTCTACCTTCTATCTCCCTGCCAAGGCTTGTGCTATTTAGGCCTCTCTTCCCATTAGTTAAGACGACCTACCAACTACTGGGTACCCCTGATAGAAGTCACCCTACTTCTCCACCTCTGCTATGTTGTCCCCAGGTAGACTGAGAATTCTCTGAAGGGAAAAATGCAATTTTTTGGTGTCAGATGTAAGGCAATTCAAGGCAGTAGTTAGGAACCAGCGGATAAACAGGACTTCAAAGGCAAGGCAGGGCAAGAAATCAGAGGGTTGGATACAGATTCCAAATTCATTTGATGGGAGAAATTAATCCATTTACATTTAATGTAATTATACAATTACATTAATGTAATATAATTAATGTAATGTAATTATTGATAAGTAAGGCCTTACTGTTGCTATTTTGTTAATTGTTTTCTGACTGTTTTGTAGTTTCTTTGTTCCTTTTTTCCTCTCTTGCTGTCTTCCTTTGTGATTTGTTGATTATTTTTTTGTAGTCATATGCTTTGATTCCTTCCTCTTTATCTTTTGTATATCTACTAGAGGTTTTTTTCCTTTGTGGTTACCATGACGCTTGTAGAAAACATCTTATAGTTATAACAGTCTGTTTTAAGATGATAACAACTTCAATCACATACAGATTCCAAGCTCAGAGAAAAATCCCAGAAATGGACATGTTCACTTTCTCTGTCTAGAGAGTTTATAAGGATCTGTTTTGGGAAGAACCAATCCAGTGTGGCTAGTCTGGGTGCTCAGGTGGGAAGCAGGTGCCTGGAAGCATCTGCTTGAATTGACGATGAGTCAGAGAATGCCTTTTGTGGCAGGTGGGTCCTGGCTTCAGAACTTGGGGCATATGGGGTGAGAACTATCAAGTGCTGACCACTGGTTGCTATTGTTCTCTCCCCAGGTTTATGTGTGGTATGAGGGCCAAGAATGTACAGGACTAGTGGAACAGCACAGTTGGGCAGAGGGTAAGGTGACTGTCTGGCTGTTGGATCAGAAGTTACAGATCTGCTGCAAAGCGGAGGAGGTGTGGCTGGCCGAGCTGCAGGGCCCCGTTCCTCAGGCACCACCTCTGGAGCAGGGGGCCCAGACGCCAGCCTACAGGCCTGTCTCCAGGAACATTGACGTCCCAAAGAGGTTTGTGTGGGAGAAGCTGGGCTCTGAAGGACATAAGGGTGGTGAGGTATGGGGTAGTGGGATGCCTTGTGATGGGGAAGAATGTGGAAGTCCTAGTTCTCAAGATGTTGGACAGATGGGATACAGAGAGGGCGTCTTGTAAAAAAACCCAGAATGGTATCCTTTCTCCCCAAATTCTGTTATGGGTGGTATATCTTTGGTTTGGTTAAAGGCTATTTTTCCCCCCTTTATGCTTAAACTAAAATTTGTTCTCAGTTTTTCATGACACGAGACAGGGAAAAAATGGCTTAGATTAGAAGTCAGCAAACTCGTTCTCAATGGGCCAGATAGTAAATAATGTGAGGCTTTGTGGCCAAGCAGCCTCTGTTACAGCTGCTCAGCTCTGCTGTGGTGAAAGCAGCCACAGACAGTGTGTTAACAAATGAGCATGTTGTGCTCCAGTAAACCTTATGGATGCTCAACTTCTAATTTTATATAATTGTCCTGTATCACATGTCAAGAAAAATATTTTTCTTTTGATTTTTAAAACCGTTTAAAAATTGTAAAACCATTCTTAGCTCGCAAGCCATACAAAAGTAGGCGACAGGCCATGCCTGCCCACAGCCCATAGATTGCTGACCCCTGGCTTAGATATTCAAAACCATTGATGTTGAATGAAGGCTAGATATTTTGCTTTAGAATTTTATGACACGATTTTACTAGAATATATATTTATTAGAATATATACTAATTTTTATCTTATATACTCTATGTATGTTGATCTTTCAAGATTAAAAAGAAAAGCTGCCAGTGGAGGTTGTCTTATATACAAGGTGTGCAAGAAGTGAAGCTCCGTTCTGTTTCTCTGTGGGTACTACTGTTATTGACAGTACACCCAGTGTCTCGAGACCAGACCAGAGTAACGATATTTGTGATTGTGAATTCAGTGGAATGCTGGCAAAGAATTTGTTTTGCTATTCTATGAATATAAAAATACAAAGATCATACAAAGAAGGGGATGCTGATATGTTTAATATATTGCTAGACTTGGTTTAGCTGCTTCAAACCCAGTCACATATTTTAGTTGGTCTGAATTGTAAAGAATGAATGAATACAATCCTTTGAAGTAGATGAGCCATCTAGAAATTTATTTCAGACTAACTTTTCATACTTTAGAGCTGTCTATAAGTTCATGCTAATTTTACTTCCAAATAAGGTAACTTTATATGGATTTTTTAAAAAATTGCATGTGAAATTTTATAGAACTCTGCTGTATAAAGCATTGATGTTTGCATTGGGACGTTTATTTTAGTGTTTCTGGCTTACTTGCTCATTGGCTTATGTAATAGGCTCTGTTGACATTCGGAAGCTATCAGAATACCTCATCATTTTTCTTGGGAGGAGGGGAAAGGAGTTGGTTAGTGTAACTTTTCCCTCTTAAATTTAAATGTAAGATGGGGAAAGGAAGGTAATTTTAGTATCCTTTCGAATTCCAGTGGGCGTCTTCCATGCCCATGCTTTATTTCATTGCTTTGACTCTTCTCTCTTTCCCCCAAATAAAATTTTCCATTTTGAACTGCAAAGTTAGAGTTAGGAAGGGAATTCAGGGGAGAATGGAGCTGCTTCAGGATGTCAGCAGTGAGATGAAGACCATCCTGCTTACTTTGGAGTTGACTGATATTATAAACATAATTCAGAATGAGTGTTTTTCATGAAGAACGAGGAGAAGCCGTCATGCTTTATTTAACTCATATTGCTTGAGCACACATTGGTTGATTGTAGTGGGGGCGTGGAGGAGACAGTCCACAAGTGTAAGATGATGATGTGACAAGCCGTGTCGGGAAGCAGCCTTTGGCACTCACCCATTTGAATCTAGGAAGTCGGATGCAGTGGAAATGGATGAGATGATGGCGGCCATGGTGCTGACGTCCCTGTCCTGCAGCCCAGTCGTGCAGAGTCCTCCTGGTGCCGAGGCCAACTTCTCTGGTGAGGAAGGGGGCCCCTGTGGGTTCTGGGTGCGGCAGAGGCTCGTGGCTGACTTCCTCTGCTTGGAGCAGTTAATTGCCACAGTCACCAGCTTAGCAACAGGGTTTCTAGAGTCTCTTCTCACTTGCGCCTCAGACTGGCTGAGTGACGTTGAATTAGATGCTTCCATTCTTTTTCCTCAGTTTCCTCATCTGGGGAGAAGTTTCCTGGTGCATTGTGAAGATGATTAAGCATGGGACTGAGCCACACTGGCCAATTGAGTAAGTTCTTCTGTGGGAGTAAGTGAATGAGGTACTTCAATGGGGGCTTGAGCAAGGCCAGTAGAGGAATATTTAGTTCACAAAGGCAGAAACTTACTAAATGGTCCTCTAGTGGCCTCAGAAAATCCATGCCCCCATTCCATGTGCCTCATTCAGCCTTGTGAATTAGTGTGGGCCTACAGGCCCAGGACCTGAAATAAATGAGCTGAAGTCTAAAGTAAATCTAAATGCTTAATACAAACTGACAGTATGACTTCAAAGCAAATTTATGAACTAAAAGAAAAATTCTTTAGTGCGACCTCAAAATACATTATCAGTAATATGGGAGGAAGAAGCGTTGCTGGATGTTACTAGTTTGATGAGACTGGTAGTGAACCTGAAGTTCTTTTTGAAATTCATTATAGGACTGGCCTGACTTACTCCCAGGGAATAACTTTCATTGGTGAGATCTAACTGAATTGGAAGCTACTTAAAAGTTTGTAGGAAAATATGGAGTTAGCTCGGAGCACATACAGGAGGAAGGTGGCCTTTACAAGTATCCCTCATAAGTCATCTCCCTAGATAGAAAGTAAACTTAAAGGAGCGATAAAGCAAACTTACTTATTTCACTCAAAGCCGTAGTCAATGACCAGGCTGCTGGAGTAGTCACTGTGGTCTGATGGCACCTGGTTGTGAAGCACAGCATTGCACACCTGCTCTGTTAGTGCTTGGGAGCTACACAAGCAAAATGGGGAGGAAAGGAGTCGATTTTAAGTTCTCAGGAAATTCTACAAGTTTAGGAGATTCAGGAGGTTGGTCAACAGAAGGAAGATCCAGGAAAGTGACATAAAGGGAAAGAAAATCGTTGACTCCAATTCCCATCAGGTTGTGTGTGTATGTGTGTATGGATAACACAAACATACATGTTCACCAACATAATATGCATCTAACTGATAATATGCTATGATCTTAAGTCCCCCCACAGCATGGCTTGATGAGCGGTGTGGAGGTCCACACCAGGGATCTGAACCCACGAACCCTGGGCCGCTGAAGCAGAGCGCGTGAACTTAACCACTACACCACCGGGCCGGCCTCTGCATATTTCTTAAAAGTTCACTGTAATCTCTCATTGCTGTGCATTTGCAGAGGAGCACTTTGTTTTCGTGGTGTAGAATATCTATTGCCCCTGCCCTAGAAAATCTTATGATCTAAGGTAGAGTAATTTATGTTCATCTTATAACTTGTAGATTAACTTATGATACTAACTTTTTGCTTTGTTTTATATTTTTCTTTCTTTGTGTGCCAATTTGCCGCTTGCAGCCTTTGGGCCGTTTACATGGTTCCTCTCTGGAAGGCTGCTGTGTTGTAGGGTTTGCCCGCAGTTTGACCTGCCCTCTATCTCCCGAGCCCTGCTCTTGCTAGATGTAGCGTTCCGTGTCCTAGGCACGGAAGAGTCTGGGTTGGGCCTAAAGCAGCCTGAAGACAGGCAGTTTAAACACTGAAGATCTCACACGTCTCACTGTGATCTTCTTCCCGTTAAGACGCTGGGAGCGGGGCAGCGGATTCAGGGCCACGTCGGGCGCTGGCTTCCTGTCTTGTGATTAGTCTGAATTGCTCTCAGGGCTTGTCTTTCCCTCTTCAAATATGTTACTTCTGGATAAAAGCGGGAGCCACCTGGGCTGCAGCTCACCCTGGTAAATGCTGCCTCTCCTGTAAGAGCCGAATGGTTTCTTTTCGCACGGAGGTTTTGATAAATTTGCCTGGGTTTAAATTATCGAAAGGCATTTTTCAAGAAAGCCGGTCCACAAGCTCTTAACTTGGCCTTTCCCTCTTGCTCTGCTGTGGGGAAAGCTTCCCAAGGGGTCCCTGTAGCGAGGACCCCAGAGTGCTGTGTGCAGCTCTCACCCACCTGTTAGGCCTAGAGGCCCCTCTCCCCTACCCCCTCCCTACTCTCCTCTGTTTTTTTTTTTTTAACATATAAGGTGAGAAATACATTTTAATTAGGTTCTCTTTCTGTTAATAATACACAAAATGAAGTTGCATTATGCATTGCTTGGTCGATGAGTATCAAGCTGTGGTAGGAAGTGTTCTCCAGAGCAGAGCAAGGCAATGAATGGACCCACTCCTCATTGTACCGCAGCTTGGAAAGGGAAGGTGTCTCCCTTGTCCCTGCAGTGGCCAAACCAGGCAGAGCCAGGGCCAGAGCCACGAATTGGATTCAGGAACTCAGACTCCAAACTAGAATTTCGTGGTCTCCCACCTGGGCTGGCTGTGCCAGACCCCCTGCCCTGGGACAGGCCCATGAGCGTCCCCTGTCTTCTCTCCGGCCAGCTTCCCGCGCGGCCTGTGACCCGTGGAAGGAGAGTGGGGATGTGTCTGACAGCGGCAGCAGCACCACCAGCGGGCACTGGAGCGGGAGCAGCGGCATTTCCACCCCCTCACCCCCCCACCCCCAGGCCAGCCCCAAGTATTTGGGGGACGCCTTTGGTTCTCCCCAAACTGATAATGGATTTGAGACCGATCAGGATGCTTTCCTCTTGGATGAACCAGCTCCACGCAAAAGAAAGGTACATGGTGTGGTGTGAGCGTGAACTTGGGCAGGAGGCACTGACGTCAGTGAGGACCAGCCAGCTGGCCAGCCGTGGAGGGGAGGGCCCCCACAGGTCCTAGGTGTTCCTGGGCTCCATCCCGTTGCAGTTTCCCTTTGCTGCTTCTGATCTCATGATAGTCCTAGGAGCCTATTCTCCCCTTTAATGCCACTTCCTTTTCCTTGTCACCTCTGCCCCAGTCTCTGCCTTCTTTCCTGCACTCCTACAGAGGCCTGTGCACGAGAGGCCTCCAGTGGGGTCTTCCCACAGCGCCAGGCACTGCCGCTGGCCACCAGGACCGTCTCCCGGGTCCAGGCTCTCTGCCCCTGCTTGTCAGTTTCTCTGGCCCCAGAGGACACCTTCCCTAGGGCCTTTTGTTGGGTTCTGTTTGAAGACAGTGGAAGTCCCCACTGGGTGAGGATGAGAGGGGGGATGAGTGAGAGGAACATGCCCCAATTACCCATCTTCCTTCCCCCTAGAACTCTGTGAAGGTGATGTACAAATGCCTGTGGCCCAACTGTGGCAAAGTTCTGCGCTCAATCGTGGGCATCAAACGACACGTGAAAGCCCTCCACCTGGGGTAGGTGTGGAGCCCCGGGCCGCTGCCGAGGGTACCAGGCAGGTGTTCCTCCAGCCTGCTGACTCCCCGTGACCTGCGTCCTGGGATGCTTCCGAGAGAATGGCTTGCTGAGAACACCACGTGCTGCCTATCCCTGGTCCCTGGGGCCCAGCATAATAGCCCACTGGAAAGAGATCTTTGTTGGGAAGGAAGGACCCTCCCATCGTGGTGAAGGTTGATGCTGTTCATGGGAAGGGAGCTCCATCCATCTTGTAGATGCGTCTTCTTGCTTCACTGCAGGAAGCAAAATGTTCTGGTTCTCAGTAGAAATAGGGTAATTTGGTGAGACCCTGTTGTGAGCTCCACTTCTGCTTCCCCTCAGGGAGCCGGGGCTCCATTAGCACTGACCCCCTGGAGCCAGGGCTGCTCGTGGCAGAGGGATCTGACTCACACCCCTTTCCCTTGAGAGGAGAGTGTGAGCGCAAGGAGCTGGGGCCCAGAGAGGACCCGTGGCAGAGCTCGGAGTCACACAACTCCTGCAGGAGGAGAGATGCACACATGTTCTGTGAGAGGAGAAGCCTTCGGTGCCAGGAAAAGCAGTTCCCATTGCTGTGCCAGCACGTAATCTGCTGCGACACCGCATCAGAAGCTGGACTCCTGGGTGTTCTCATGGGCTCCTTCCCTGACTTGCGGGGTGGCCCTGAGCAAGTACTCCCTCTTGTGCCTCGGTTTCCCCTGTGTTTGAACTCAGGTAACTTGTCCCTGATTGTCACCGCATCTCCCTCCCACACAGGGACACTGTGGACTCTGACCAGTTCAAGCGGGAGGAGGATTTCTACTACACAGAGGTGCAGATGAAGGAGGAAGCTACTGCTGCTGTTGGCACCACCACAGCTGACCCAGCTTCCCCCCCCAGCGTGAGCAGCTCACCCCTTGCCATTCTTCCACCACCTCCTCCCAGAGCCCAGGCCTCAGGCCCGGAACACCCTGGCCTGGAGTCTTACCTGCCCTCTGGTGCTCTCAGCAAGTCAGCTCCTGGCTCCTTCTGGCACATTCAGGCTGACCATGCGTACCAGGTACGGGGCTGGGGCACGCTGGGAACTCAGCCTTGTGGCCGTGAGGACATTCAGTGTCTCATCACAGGCCACTGACCACCGTGATTGAAGCCTGAGCCCTTTAGCTAAATTGCTCATCTCTAACTTCTACAAGGAAGAAAAGGAAAATGACTTCACATTCAATAAATGTGAGAATTCCAGAGTTCTGCATCGGTGGCTCTCATGAGTGGTTCCTAGAAATCTGGGGCTGAATCTGAGTAACCAGGTTGATAGATTTGATAGATTTGGACTGGGGAATTGTTACATCTCCAGTGATAAAAGGGGACGGAGTAGTGTATTTGGGCTTCCCAGAGCAAATCCCTAGTTCCTAGAATTATGTTACATTAATAAACAATCACATTTTTGGAATGGATGTCAAGCGTCGGGCTAAGCTTTTCAGACAGAATAAGACATAGGCCCTGACCTTGTGAAGTGCATGGTTTAGCTGGAGAGAGAAATGAATATGTAACTATGATTAATTATAATAAAGTACCTTACTAGAGGCATGAGAAATTGTTGTGGGTACAAGAAAGACCAAGGTGTTGTGTCCACGTGGTTGGTAACGTTGTCACAGAGGGGGTGACATTTAGGATGGTCTTCACTGCATGCGGAAGGTGAATGCACAGCTCGCTGTGTGCCAGTTTTTCTTAAAATCCTTTTATGCCTGCAACGTGGTTTTATCAGACTCTAGGCTGATTTGCAAGTTAGTAATTAAAAAGCAGTGCTTTCAATCAGAAAGGCTTTACAAAATGAGCCAGCTCTCCTTCTCACTAGAATGAGTGGTTGCTTAGCTGTTTCATGTTTGGCCAACTTCAGGTGGCCCTTCAGGTGGGTGGCTGACCCTGTGAGATGGGGCCTGGAGAGTACGGCTGTGTTTTTACAAATAGACCTAAACCCAAACATCCAGGAGAGTGTTGCTACTTCCAAGTAGTTGCCTGGGGATACCATACCCTTAGTGCAGCAATACCACCTGTGCTCAGATGGCTTCTGGACTCATTTGGGGAACTGCCTGTAGTGTGTTCTTGGTAGATGATCCAGCCATGAAGTTAATCTGTCGTGATGATTAAGTCACGAGGCTGGTATGTAAACTAGCTCTGAGAGAAGGGTTTCAAAAAAAGATTGGAGCCTGGGACCAAGGATACTCTTTCAAAGAATTGGGTATCTGATATTTCTTTTGGGAAGAGCACTCTGGTATGTCCCAGCATCTTCCAGTCAGAGACACACCTTCTGCTGGGGACTGTGAAGTTGCAGGGACAATGGGTGGACTCTGAGAGCTTCCTGAGCTGGAACCTAGGCTGACACTCTTTTCTCCTGCAGGCCCTGCCATCCTTTCAGATCCCTGTCTCGCCACACATCTATACCAGTATTAGCTGGGCTGCCGCCCCCTCCACGGCCTCCTCCCTCTCTCCGGTGAGTGTGCCTGTGTCCGAGCCTGTCAGCACTTCTGGGGGCCCTGGAACAAGCCGAGGGCTCTTCTGTCTCTCCGCACTTGTCTCCAGCACCCAAACGTCTTGAAGATCTCCATGCACTCTCGCCTTTGCCCAGCACTCCCCAGCTGGTCACAGCTCCTCTTAGGAGGAAGAAGTACCTAGATCAAGCAAGTTTATTGCCAAGAAAATCATGAGGCGAGGCCAGGGTCAGTGCCCTATTTAGCTCTGGGTGTCTGTGGGTGCGTGTTAAGGTTTAAACGCTGAGCAGAGAAGAAGGGAGAGAATGTGGGAAATCTGGAGAGGAAGAGGGTGAGCAGGGAAGAAGATAGGAGCTTGTGGGGGCTGTGTGGGGTAGATCAGAAATCTCGAGGCCACTGTGGACCAGTGCCTTAGGTTATTTGCCTCGAACTAGAGTAATTTGGAAGTCATTTTGAACCACACACAGTGGCTTCTAGTCTTAAATATCTCCTACAGGAAGATTTCACACTTTGTAAAACCTAAATACCCAGAGGTACCATTGAGGGAGTGCAGTCCCTCCTTTTGTTCCACGTATGGTGACTCCATCTAAATCTGCAGAGAGCAGCCCACGAGGTGGCCAGGTCAAGTGGCTCCGTTTTCTGTGGCCCCTGCTCTATCACGAGCGTGGCTTAGAGGCCTGCTCCTCACTCTCCACCCTCCCTTCCCTCCCTGGCCCCTGCTCACCTCTCCCTGCGATATCCTTCCAGAGAGGGCGTCCTGGCGTCCTGGCACAAGGAGGGGCTTGGCAGTTGTGGCCGACTGTCCTGTAGGATGCTTCTCTCACCTCTCACTACTGCCCTCATGCTCATGGCAGTGCTTACGGCCCCTCTCCCGTGCCCAGGTTCGGAGCCGGTCGCTAAGCTTCAGCGAGCCCCAGCAGCCACCACCTGCGATGAAATCTCACCTGATTGTCACATCTCCACCCCGGGCCCAGAGCAGCGCCAGGTGAGACTGTCCGCTCCCATGGCCTCCCTTCTGGCTTCTGTACCCGCCATCTATACTGCAAGTGTGGCCTCCGAGTCCACCGGACCCTAGTTTCCAGTGTTAGGGGTTAGTCCCCCGGGGGAGCCCAGCGGGAGGACACACTGGATGCTGGGGGAGGCTTTCAGTCTTCTGGCCCTTTGGCTCCCACCCCTTCCAACGTCTGCTTGTTTGCACAGCATCGTGCCGGGCCACTCTCCAGCTCTAGCCACCAGCACGTGACTGAACCCTCATTGCTCTCTTCTGGCAGGAAAGCCCGCGGGGAGGCTAAGAAGTGCCGCAAAGTGTATGGCATTGAGCACCGGGACCAGTGGTGCACAGCCTGCCGCTGGAAGAAGGCCTGCCAACGCTTCCTGGACTGAACCTGTCCAGCTTGCTCGTCCTCTTTGCTCCTGGCCCTGACCGGCAGCCAGATGACAAAAGGCAGACGTGCCACAAGCCCTCAGCAGAAACCTGAAAGATAAAGAGCGGGCCTTGGGAGTTTGGGCTCTATTGGCTAAGGTTTAATACTTAAAACATTTTTCCCTCCCTTGTGGGAACATTTCATTTTTTAAAAAAAGAAAGGAAAATATTTTTTCCCCCTAAAATAGGAGAGAGCCAAAACTGACCAAGGGTATTCTGCAGCGAACCAGAGACCAAAGAATTAATTACTCCCCTTTCCCACATCCCAGCTCTCTAGGGGATTAGTTTGTACGCATCAAAAGAAGGAACAGCTCATTCTGTTTCCTGCTGAGTTGGTGAATTCTTTGCTTTCTCAACTCTTCCAGAAAGGACTGTGAGCAAGCTGAATTTACTTTATTTTTTAAAAAGAGTTTCTGGCTGGTGACTCAGAGAGCAGGACCTGCCATGGATGGGGTGGGCAGAGTGAGGGGTATCTGGGCGCTTTTTAAGGTGCAGCCGGCCCCTCTTCTCCACCTGAATCTGGGAGAAGGGAGAGCTTGTCCCCACCGAGCAGCTTCCATGAAAGTAAAAGGAGAAGCCTTTCTTGGTGACGACTATTTGAATCTGGGTTTCCCAAGACGTTGGGTTGCATCCCAACAAATATTGTATGGCTTCTTCTCAAAGCCCAGACTAATAGGTTTTTAAAGACTGTCCCCCAAATAGCTGAGCCAAAAGGCTAGTCAGAATTCACTTTTTGAAATGTGGCAGTTAAACACTACCTTGACCATCCTTTCCTCTTTCCTTGAGGAAAAACTAGAGGGTTTAGTATCTGTGAAAGCTCTCTGCTGTTCCCCAAGGGCATTGACGTTCCCTCCCTCCAGTTATGGAAATGACACCTCTAGAACACTTTATTTTCTTTTATGGTGTATTCAGAAGCCTTTATCTGATTAAAGTTCCCTTTTATTTGGATGAGAGACCTTGTAGGAAGTTCCTTTGTCCCTGGTTTCACCAGGGATTTTCCCATTTCCCTCCCAAGGCTGCAGGTGGGGCTGGCACGGGGGAGGGAGAGGGAAGAGAAACGATGGAAAGGTAAATGGCAGCGTGGCCCCACGAGGGAGAGGGAGTTGACAGGTCCCCGATTGTTCCATTGGCTCACCTGCCTTTTTGGGGGCAATCTGATCTTCTTCCTAAGGTGACAAATAGGACAGGACTCTTCAGGTAATGCAAGAGGGTTCTCGACTTTTTTTTTTTTTTACCAGTATTGGTCCAGTCCGGGTAATGAGGAGGGTCAGTCTGATGGGTGTAACCTTCCCAGAGACCTGCTGGGCACTGTTGCTTGCCTGAAGGTGGGATGGGGAAGGTTGACTAGTCCTAAGGAGGTCCCGTGAGGAGGAGCTGGGCTTGGGTTAGCAGCTCCTGGTGTTGCAGCCATTGGTGTTTCTGGAGACCTCAGGAATTGAGAGCAGCCTGAACTGCATTGCTTGGAAGGTAAATAAGCAAAGCTGTTCTTGATGAGAAGGAGGGAGATGCGGGGGGTTTATGCCATGTTAACCAATGATTAAGAAAGCCTGGGCGTGCTGAGTCCTGAAGGGAGGGCACAGTTTTGTGTGGGAACCTCGCCTTATTTCTAAGTGTGACTTGTTTGGGGACCCTCAGGGCCTGCTTGAACGTGACCACCCAGTGCCCGGCTGTCTTGGGTATCGGTTCTGGACCTACGTCCCAGATGTCAGGGGCTCAGGGAATCCCACCACGCCACCTGTTTCGGGGGGACTGGGCAGCAGCGTCCACCCCTTGGCTCTAATCAAGGCCGTCCTCTTGGTCCTGGGTGGAAATGCCTGGCTATTGAAGCTCCTTTGGCCACTTCACGTGGGAAAGGTGCAGATGCTTTTCAATCCGAGGCTCGTTGAGTATTAGAAAACCTGCAAACCTACTAGGGGCCTGATGCTGTGAAGGGTGTTAGTGACCTGGGTTTGGTGACAGAGGGTAAGACACTCTTATGCATGGTGTCTTTGGTGGTGGTGGGGTATATTTTTATAACTTAGTAAAAAAATATGTGGAATCTGTCCCTTGGTAAAGCTGGAAGCCAGACCAGCAAGAGGTGGCCCAGGGTTCTTCTTCCTGTCCCTTCAACCTTCCTGAGAATTAAAAGCTGACAGCAGGTTGTTGCTTGTCTTGACTCTGCTCACTTGCCACGTCGTCCATCTTCAGGTCTTATGGGGAGGGGAGGGAGCGTGTGAGACTCGGGGACTCTGCCCAGCCGTGTCTTCCCTTCCCTTCTCAATCAGCACTCTTGCTGAGTCTGGCCCTTAGAAAAGCTGTGTTAATTTTTCCCCTCAGTTTGGATCGTGTAGATGTAACTGGATGTATAAAAAGATTTTCTCAAAGTGAGGTGGGCTTTTCGTGTTATTGGTACACAGGGCAGAAAAGCGAGAGAGAAAGAAGAAATTGATGAAACAGTTTGGAAACTGAGGTGGTTTTATTGTTGTTTTGGTGCAGCTGTCCCTGTCTACATCTGTGCCTCTCCCTCCTGGTGGTGGTGGCCTCCCCTGGCCGTGCTCCTGCCGCTCCTCCATCTCGTGGCTGTTGTGTTGGTTCTTGACAGGTGGTCTGTCCTTGGGGTTCCCCATCTGTTTCTTCTTGGACGGTGGGGTGGTTTGTGAGCTGATCCAGCCATCACGCCTGTTTTCTTCATCTCTGTCTCTCTCCCTACTTCCCAGCCCACCTGGGCAGCAGAATCTGCTAGAAGGTAAGATGCCACAGGTGTACATATGAAACTAACAGGACTGATTTACAAAGCAGTTATCTTGGGAAACTATTCCAGTGATGTTACCCTCATTGAAAAGATTTCTTGGAATTACCTTCGGAGTCGGTGGTGCCTGCTTTGAACAGCCTTAATGATGCTAAGCCTGCACCCACGCTCATTCAGCAAGAGCAAGTCCAGCGAGTAATGTCTGTGACCCGGTGAGGTCACAGGTGCAAAGCACAAGGACTGACCAGCGAGTAAAATAACTTGGATTTAGTTATGTGACTTTTAAGCTGGCTGTGAAAGCAATTTTGTAATTTCAGAGAGCATTTTGAGCAATGTCCACATTGTGATAGTAAGCCTATAGCTTGACTCCTTGGAGGACATTATTAATTTAGATTTGGAAGCTCTGATTTGTTTGAAGAAATCTGTCCTGTTACTTTCTGGTCCTCCCAGGTTCTGACTTTACTAGGGGCAAAAAAAAAACAGAGAAGAGGGAGTAAATCCCATCTGTGAATTTTGTCTTATTGGCGCCTTTTCTCCCAGCTGTCTTCCAAGTATTATTTTTACTGTTAAAAAAATTTTTTAAAAAATGTGAAATGTAATGTTTTTACAGCAACAATATGAAATATATTTTATAAGGAATAAAATGGTACATTGTCTGATTTAATGTGTGCCTGTTGCTCTGCCCCTTCCCCCTGCAAAGGATAAGATTATCATTGTCCTTGGTGTTAAACAAATGATAGCATGTCACACTGTGGGCACATTCATTTGCTTATAATAACAGTAGGTGACATCACCATGGAGCAGGTAAGCTCCATGTGCTTATACGGATCACCTGAATAACCAGTGCTTACACGGATCACCTGAATCACCCTATGAAGGAATACTGTTATTATTTCCATTTTACAGAAGGGATAGTGAGGCACAGAGGTTAAATAACTTGCCCAAGGTCATAAACTGGGAAATAATGGCATAAGGATTGTAATCCAGGCAGTAACTATTTTCTATACTGCTTATATTGACAATTGGGAGCATGTTCTTGGCCATATTCCTGGGTTTGTTGGGGAGTGGGCAAGTGACCTAGGAGAAAATAAGTCACACTCGACTTACGGAATGTGTTCTGACCCTAGGGACCAACACAGGCCACTCCCTGAATTCATCGATTCTATGTATTGTGCTGGCCCAAATGGCTAATTAAAAGCTGGCCTAGGTGGGAAGGGTGTTGGAAGCAGAAAGCAACATCCACCCTTTAGTGTTGGGACCATCAGGCGTCTCTGGGCACAGGTTTAGGGACCACTAAGAGCGCCTGACGGTGAGGGTGATGCTGCTCTGAGCAGACCCCGGGACTTGACCTCGGCAGGAGTTGGTCGAGCTCGGCAGCCTGGAAAGCGGGTGTGGGAGGCTGCCTTTGGCCTTGTTCCTCGCCTTGGGGCAGAACAGAGGGCTTCCTCCTCCACTTTCCCTTTGTCCTTGCCCCACCTGCATCTCTCTAAGAAAGTCCCGGAGAGACTTCACTGCTCTACTGCAGTTTGCCCAAGCCCCCTCAAATCAGGTAACTCCCTTTGAGCTGGACATTCTCCGTTTGCAGCCCTGGGCCTTCCGGCTTAATCCGAGGACCCTCAAACTTTCTGGCTTTCAGTTGGGTTTGACCAACAGGAGACACCAAGCTGGTGTTTGAAGGGCTGAGAGGAGAGAGAAGTTGGGGTATTGTGTCAACTGGCCTTTCCTACCCTGCACAGTGTGTGAATGGCTGTGTTTCCCTACTGAGAGCTCCAGGGAGCTCCAGTTCTCCCTGGATTCCAGTAACACCCCCTTACCAGGGCTCCCTCGCCCCCCACAGAGTGCTTCACCATCCCTTACTGATTTCTTGTAGCCCCGTCTACTTTGTAGATGATTGACTGTCCTCAGTTACTCTGTTTGGGTGTGCCAGATGTTTCTTGGCTGAACTCCGATAGTTAGACACTTTAACATGGTTCGTGTTAATTGGGACCCAATCCAGTGTTCCCAAGCCAGCAGGATCAGCATCACCTGGAATTTGTTAAAAATGTAAATTTCTACTGAGTTAGAAACCAGGAGTGGGGCCCAGCAACCTGCTGGCCGTGCTGTTGACGTGCACAGGAAGGTTCTGAGAACCCTGCACCCTCTATGCTGCCCGTCCATTCGCACAGCTGTGGGCATCAACTCCCCCCACTTGGATCTGTGGACACAGTGTAGATGGGGTGTTGCCTTGTCATACTTTATATAAAGCAGAGCCACGCGCGTTTTGCCTCTGCCTTGAGAGAGGCAGCTCTGATGGTGTGTTTGGAGTCTGTGCTTCTCAGTTACTTCACAATTTATTAACTATTTGCTCAGTAGAAGTTTAATGGAGAAATATCTGTTTAAAACAATCAGTCAAAAAGAACAGCTCTTTTACAAACAAGTTATGGCAGTGACAAGTCAAAGCCCCAGGCTTGATGTCCTGTTCCTTTAACCCACCCCTAGAAGAGGGAAGAGGCAGGTGAGAAGGAAAGGTGGGGCCGTTTAAATGTTAGCTGGAGGAATTACAAAAATACACTCTGATGTAGCAACAGGGGTGTCGTGAAACATGCCATGGGGGGGAAGACAACCAGACGAGAAGGTTCTGCGCCCTGGGAGAGGAGACCTGGAGGCAAAGCCTGCCTCAGTGCCTTGGGGAAGAGGGAATCCTGGTCCCCAGCCGGCAGGTCTGGGGCTGGAGACATGCTGTTTTGGGGATGACCCGGACACCTGAGGAGAGAGAAATGATTAAAATGGCAAACCTGATAGTTTTCCTGACCCTTCAGTCCTGTTGGCCCTAGTGACTGAGTGATGGAAAGGAGGCAAAGAAAAGCTACCAACCAAATAAATAGCCCTGAAGCAGCAAGAAGGGTTCCCTAACTCCTCTACACATCTGCTCTTCCTGGCGTTGAGTCCATTGGCAAGAGTAGGAGGGTAAAGGGGGTGGTCTGTGGGCTGGGCCTTGAAAGGCATAGGATAGGTCCCCTGCCCAGAAATAGTTCTCTTGTCCCAGGTGTTTGGAACCCACACGCAGTAATTAATTTCTTGAGGCTAACCAGCGTCCTCATATTGCAAGTGCTCTTTAAGCCTGATGTCACTAATTTCTCACCATGGATCTGCTCACTTTCCACCGTCTAGAAGGGTCAGGCCCTGGGGCAGCATAATAGAGGACAGCAGTGTAGGGACAAAAGGTACAGACACCAGTGTGCCCTTTTCACAGTTCAGTCTAGGAATAGTCCTGCCCCCCAACGTCCCTCCTTCCCAAGACACGTTACACTTCCTGAATAGGGTTTTTTATCCCATTCCGGTGGTAGTAGCCCTGTTTCCTCCACCCTGCTAAGTATACATTGATATTGGCTGTCTCAGAAGTCCACATCAGCTCTGGCAACAGGAGTCCCCCAGGATGGAGAAATCTCAAACAAGTGTAGGGCTGGTAGGGGCTTGTGTAGGTCAGTAAAAACAAGATTTAAGCCGCCTGTTAGGGACTCATAAATTCATATCCGTATGTGGAGAGAAGAAATAGAGATAGTTGCAGAAGAAGAAAGGAGGGCAATCAATAATATCCAAATGAGCTGGTTAATGTTTGCAGCGTTTCCATCAAGAACTTCCCGTCTTGAGGAAAGGAGCAGACAGAAACTAGTTACCAGTTTTGTTTCAGTGTGTTTCAGTTGGAAGCTTAATAGAAAATTAGAAAAACCAATTGCCTGAATAGGGGCTGAAAACGTTTCTTTAAAAAATAAATTGATTGCTGCTAATGTGACTGATTTTAAACTATCTTTAGGTAAAGAAAATGGTTGCGGTTCAGAATTAGACATGAGCTTCAATGTTCCTGAAGAGCCACTTTCAAGCAGAATGTCTTTAAGATTCGAAAGAATTTAATCCCGTGTTAGTTCTGAAAGATTTACTTTTGGGTGCTGTGCAGATATGGCTTAGGAGGAAATAGAATGCTTGTTAAGGATCCAAGAGCATGACTTCAAAAACAGTGTAGGTTAATTCAGGGCCTTCGTAGATTAGTCATTCTGCTAAAATAAGAACGGCTGCCTTCTCCTCACAGCTTAATACATATGTCCGTATTTGGCAGTGGGGCTTTTGCAAACAAGCTGACCTACCTGCAAAGAGCTACATGGGCCTCCTCCATGCTGCAGTGTGGGTGCCAAAGATTAACACATGTGTTAATATACTTTGAAGGAAGATTATTAATCATCTGACTACCTTTGACATATGGGAAACAAAATAAAACAGCACATGCAGACTTTTTTCTCTTATGCCTCTGAGTCAGGGAAAAGCCCCACTTGGGTAATGTTTTGGGAATGTTCTTGACCAACTGATTAGTTCTTTCTGTTAGAGCAAGTTTCTGGACTGTTTAAGGAGAGGTATGAGACTCTGCAGATAATCATATTCCCATATATGAATTAAGCACATATGCTCGATGGTTGGGATTTTCTTAGATTTTTAGAACATTCCACTGTACTAGTTCCCTGTGCCCCTCAAAGTTACGTATAGGTTGATGGGCTGAGGGAAGTTGAGTTTGTAATGACTGGGGATTAAGTTAGGGTCTTGGAGGTTTACTATCTGAAATGTATTATAGGTATATGAATAAGCATGCCCGTGAGAGTAAGAACAGACCAGAAAGGACAGAGGAATAGGGCAAGCAAGCAAACAAACAAAAACAAAACAAAAATGCCACCTGGAAAGAAGCAAAAGGTGAGGAAGGATGATAATCCCTTAGTCCCTGTTCTAAAAGCTACTAGGTCAGTTGGGCTAAATTCTCAAAGCCTTGCTCAGTGATGATGCCATCGACCAAAAGGAATCAGTCCATCTCTGGCAAGGTGGTAGGATGGACAAATGACGAGGGGAAGAAAGAAAAGCAGAAAGTGTGACTCCTGGTCCTAATAAGAACTTCTTGACTGGAGGAGAGTGGGAAAGTTTGGTGGTTTCCATGGACTCCAGTCACCTTGAGATATAGGAGGGAGCGGGGAGGATAGCTAAACTGTCTTTGAAGGTGAACTAGTAATATCACAGCCATGGAAATCAGACTCTTGGCCAATGGATAAGAGTGGGTCCAGCTGTTGGTTCTTAGAGATAGTCTCTGAGGAAAGGTGAGCTGAATGATTGCTATGGCAACCAGATAGGATGATTGGTCCACTTAACTGTCCCCATAGTAACTAAGCTCCTGGAGAGCTATAAAGGAATTAGTTATCTTTTTTTTTTTTTTTTTAAAGATTTTATTTATTCAGTTTTTTCCCCCCAAAGCCCCAGTAGATAGTTGTACGTCATAGGTTCACATCCTTCTAGTTGCTGTACGTGGGACTCGGCCTCGCGTTGGACGGAGAGGTGGTGCCTCGGGGCGCTCCCGGGATCCGAACCCGGGCCGCCAGCATCAGAGCGCGCGCACTTAACCGCTAAGCCACGGGGCCGGCCCAGGAATTAGTTATCTTAACATACTACTATTATCCCCATAGTAACCAATCTCCAAATGGCGGTGGTCAGCCTCAAGGAGCAATCCTAGGAAAATCTTTGCTCCCTAGAGAAAGGGTGGGCATGAAGCAGGGAGGTGAATTTACACCCCAGGCCTCCCAGGGGCTGAACACCTTGAGGTGGTGTGGGATATATGTATATGTTTGGGGGCTAATGTGCTTCCAGGCCCGGGAGGAAGGCTAAGACAGTGGGTATAAGAGGTTTCTTCTTGGCCCCAGCTCATTTGTGCCCAACTCACTCATGGGTTGAAGTTGACGGTGCAGCTGGGAGGGGCTCCCCTTCCGGCTACGCATTACCATTCTGGTGCAGGGTGCGCCGGCGCTGGCTGGACTGCATACTCAGGACCAGGTACTGCCTCATAAATTCACTGAACCGCTTCTGGTTGGCCAACTTCCGGGCCGACTTCCGGGCCCCAGTGAAGCCCCCGAACCTCTTCTGTAGCTGCTTCTGCTCCATCTCTCCAGCCTCATCCATGCCAGGCTCTGTCCCTTTCTGCACTTGGAACAGGCTCCTGATACGGGGCATTCGCTTCAGATGTATCTCGGAGGCTCTTGGCTGGTAAAGAGCAGCCGCCACATGCTCTGAGTCAGCAGAGCTGAGTTGCCTGGATCCCCTGCCCATGACGTTGGTGCATGGAGTCCAGAAAGGGCTGGCCAAAACCTTCGCTTCACACTTGAGGATGCACACCTGCAAAGACAGAGGTGGGAGGAAGGAGAAGGACCAGCGACTTCTATGAGTCCAAGGCAATGAGAAGATCAAGTTCCTCTATCATCTATATCTGTACCAATGCAAGTGCTTCTGAAGCATCTCTTCATCAAGTACCATGCAGCAGTTTTACAGGTAGTTCCTTAGGTTCATAGAATTTCAGAGTTGGAAAGAAACAGAAAAATCTGGCCCAGCTCCGTCATTTCACAAATGAAGAAACCCAGGGTTTCTTCAGAGAGGTGAGGTTAAACCTACCCCAGGTGACATAGCAAGTTAATGCAGAATGAGTGCACCAAAACTGCATCCAGTTATAGCCTTTTTGGAGCCAAGCACAGCTCATGATGGTCACCCATAAGGATGGATTTTATTTTGTTCTTTTATCAGGCTTGGGGGAGGTCAGATTCATTTAAGAAATTGGGGATGTCAAAGTGTGTAGTTAAATTTGCATGGTTGTTTTAAGGTCACCAGGTAAAGATCAACCTTGGTGTTGTTAGTTTTTCACCCCCTAAACACTATTCATCATTATGAATTTATAGAAAATGAGGGTCAAGACCCTTTGGGATGTAGGCAGGTTGGGCAATCTGGTTCCAGGTGGGGAAGAGGGACCATCAGATGCAATCCAGTAGACCACCAGGCCCCTGGGAACTTCTGATACTGCTCTGCATCTCTGGGTGTCTCCTACTTCTCGTCTAGACCACCAGCCTGAACATGATGTTTCTCCACCCGCTCCTGACTGGTCCTGACCTTGGCCCCAGCCTCCCACATTCTTGTCTCTGGGTCTCCTGGAAGCCTCTGACTCCACTTTTTCTTCCTGTTTGCTATTTTGGCTTCACCCCAAATGCTTCTCTCTGTGTTTCTGACCTCAGCCGGATGAAAATCCCATTTCAACCTGACCTTGCCATCATGGTCGGCAGAAAGCTGCAGAGTGTTTTATCAAACCTTGGAACTCTTGCCTGGCTTGCAGGGCACCAAGAGTTGCTGCTATGTGTCTGGAAAGGTGTGGGACATCAGAAGACTGGTGTGTGTGCCCCATAGCCCCTATCTGGGGGTCAAAAGTACTCACCCAGGTGTTCAGGGTGGCACAGATGCCTCTATGGGCAAGGTTTCCAACCTGATCCCTAACCAAAGAGTGAGATGTGCAGGTAGCTTAAATCAGACCTCACAGGCTGTTCCAACAAACCCTAAAAAATGTCTCCCTCAATCCTACTTCTCCTGTAAGCGTTTGCCACCCCCAACCCTGACCCCCTTTTGTCACTGCCAAGCTTCTCCAAGATGTGGTGTAAACTTAGGCCTCTGTCTCAACATGTTCCACTTTCTCCTCAACTCCTTGAAATCTACTTCCCACCCTCATCCACTCCACTAACTTTGCCTTCTTGAGGACAACCAGTGACTTCCCAGTAACCAGATCTAATGGTCTTGCCCGCATTCTCCTTGACCCTGCAGCGTTTGGCAACATGGACAACACTCTCCCGAAAGTTGTCTTTCTGATATTGCACTCACCTCTCAGACTGTTTGTGCTCCTTCCTCCTGTGTTCCTGAGATTCTGTCTTTAAAGTTCTTCTCATCTCTCCTTACAGTCAGCCCCTTGGTGCCTTTGTTCATTTCTGTGATTTTGGTCATCACTTTTTTCAAGGCATCCCAGGTCTATATGCCCAGCACCTGATATCTCCTGAACTTCAGACTCTGGTCTCTGTCTGGAATCTCCATCAAAATGTCTGACCAGCACTTTAAGTGAAATTTGTTAAGAATGAAGTCCACCTTCCTTTTGGGGGCAGAGGCTGCCAATTGCCCATTCCATACTCCTCTCCCCTCTTCCTTACTAACAGAACACTTGTTTTCTTCCTGAAGGCCGCATGTATGTTTCAGAACCTCCTTTGTACCCAGAGGTGGCCAAACACATATAAATGGGAGTGACCAGGTGGGACTCCCAGGAAACTAGGGGGCTGACTTAGCTGGGAAGAACATCCTTTTTCCTTCTTCTTCCCCTTCCTCCAGCCTCCTGCTTAGAATGTGGCTGGTGCTCAATTGGCCATCCTGAAACCATGAGGTGACTCAGAGGGTGGGAGCCATACGAGGATGGCGGCCGTTTACAGGTGAAGCAGAAAGAGAAGGAGTCTGGGACATTGGTGATGGGGTGGAGCTGCTATTCCAGCCCTGCACTGCCCACCTTCCAACTTTTTTTATGAGGAATCAAATCTGTCGTATTTAAGCCGCTGTTACTTTAGGTTTCTGTTACTAGTGAATTTAATTCTTATCTGATATACTTTCCCCACCCCAAGTCTGCCCTTCTGCTCAGTCTCTCTGTGTCTCTCTCTGAATGGCACCTTATTCCCCAGTTGACTCTGGTTTAGAATAGCTGGGCGAATCTTCAATGTCTCCCTTCTCCCGACCCCCATTCCGCCATCCAATCAGTATGTAAGTCTGCCCCCTCCTTTCCATCCCTCTGCCTAAGTACCTCTTAGGGTGCAGTGGCTTCCCAACTGATCTCCCAGTCTCTGATCTTTGCTGCACTAATCCACTTTATACCCCTGGCAGAATAGTTTTCCTGAAGAATAGATCTAATCACATCATTACTTGCCTACAACTGTCCAATATTTTGTCTTTGTCCATAAAACAACTCCAGACTCCTCAGTGGAGCATTCAAGTCCCTCCAACATCCAGTCTTAGCCCATCTTTCAGTCTTATTTCTGATTCCTCCTCACCACTGCCCCCACTCCCAGCCCCACCATGCCTTTTCTCACTCTATTCCTTCTGATGGAATGACCTCCTTCTGTCCATCCTTTGGGGCCAGCCAAGCTCCAGAGCCATTCCTCTATGACACCTTCTTCTAGCTTCCTGGCCAGAATTGCTCTCTTCTGCCTCTGTGATGCCACAGAGCTTTGTATTGCTCTTATGGAAATTTATATGGTTAATATAATTGTAATACCTCACAAGGCAGAATATGACAAGTTAGGGACCACATCTTACTCATGCTAAGATCCTTTATAGGAATATTCTCCATCCAGTAAATAGTAGGGTTTCAACAGAGGTTCGTTGACCAGAGCTGAATTAATCAAGAAGTTATGTTATGCTTAGATAGGAGTGAAAAAGGCAATTTTTTTAAAAAACACAAAGGATGAGAAAGAGAATCACCGGAAGAACAGGAGTTTCAGCTCGTTGCAACCGCAACTTGAATTCCTCCCGCACTTGGTATAGGCTTCTGATGTCGTACTTGTCACCCGGTGCAACTCTCTGTTTACCTGATTACTTGTCTGTCCCATCAGACCAGAGTTTCTAACCTTTTCTGGGTCATCAACTCTTTTGAGAATCTAAAGAAAGCTATGGACTCACCCTTTCACCAAGTAAATGCACACTCATGTCAAATTTGCATACAATTTTAGAGGGTTCATAGATCTAAACCCTTTTCATGGACAGGCATCCGTGGACTCCAGGCTAAGGACCTCCTTACTTGGCTGTAAGCTGTGCTGTAGGGAGAGTCTGTATGTATTCCAGGCATCTGATACCTGGAATACGAAGTGGAGCCCCTAGTGAGGATGAGAAATGGAGAGAATCAGCAGGAAAAAGAACAGGATCTGTAGCTGAAGTCACCCAATGGCCACACTGGGAATCGGCCCCAACTCTTGTGCATCAGCAAAGCATTGCATAGAATGCTAGTGCTAGGAGGGACCTTAGGAAACACCTGGTCCAATGGGTCCTATACCTGGGTGTGAAACCAGATCACCTGCAGGACTTTAAAAAACACAGAATTTCAAAACCTGCTTAAATCTGTGAGGAATAGAACCAGGGTTTAAAACTTATTTTTACAAAGCTGAGGTAATTCTGAAATTTGCCTAGGTTTGTAAACCACTGATGTAGTCCATGTCTGTATGTTACAATGAGGTTCAGTAGCATGTCCAAAACTACACTATTAGATAACAGTATCACCTGAATAAGAACTCAAAGGTCTCAAGTCCAACCCAGGGCATCTCCTACTCAATGACCTCTATGTGCTTGCAATATGAATTGATAGAAATTTATGGGAGAATAAGGATCCTACGAGACAAAAGGTCCTGATGGGAAAATTGCTTATTTTCCGCTGGACCAGAGAACAGAAAGAGACAGTATCCACTGGGAGTGCCACTCGCCTTCACTGGTAAGGTTTCCAAGCAGCACCCTTGGCCAAACCCACCTGCTAGCCAGAGGTGGTGATTTTGGCACCTACTGATACTCAAGGTGTGGTTTTCTGAGCAAGTCTTTTCCATTTAGATTTCCTCAGAGACGCTGGCAGAAGTAACCTAACACATCATCAGTGCCAACTCAGCAGAGAAACATAGAGAAACCACTTTTTCACACCCACAACATCACTGGGCTGAAAGAATGATGGGCAACTTCCGTAGATGAAGAGGGTGGACTTTTGAACAATGGTAGCTGCAAACTTGAGCGTTCTTTAAGAATCACTGCTGAAGTTTGTTAGAATGCAAATTCTTAACCTATACCCCTGGAGAGTCTGAGTCAGCAAGCCAAGGGTGGGGTCCAGGAATTTGCGTTGTTAGCAAGCTCCCCAGGTGATTCTGAGGCTGGACAACACTTTGAGGGATCCTGCTTTGGAACTTGCTCTGAGGAGGAAGAAGCCATCATAGAACATGGTAGTCAGAGACTCCTTAAGAGAAACGGTCACTTGGGTCTGTATTTAGCCTTCTCCTAAATCACTTTGAAGAAAACTGGGTAGAACCCATTTGTAGTATGTTCTTTTAGATAATAATCCTATTGGGTTATTACTCTACAGCAGCAGGTCTCAACTGGGGGCAATTTTGCCCCCTAGGGGACATTCGGCAATGTCTGGAGACATTTTTGGCTGTCACATGGTTGAGCCTGGGGGATGCTACTGCAATCTAGTGAGTAGAGGCCAGGGATGTTGGTAAACACCGTGCAATGAACAGGCTAGCCCACATAACAATTATGCAGCCAAAAGTGTCCATAGTCATGAGTCTGAGAAACCCTACTCTACAGAGTCAAGGGGAAAGCAAGAAAGCAGGGAAAGCCAGTAAGAAGTGTAGAATTTTGGAAGTGAAATGGACCTATGAGCACAGTTGGTCCAATCCTTGCAGAATAGGATCCCCTAAATGCTTGTTGAGTTGTTCTGCTCCGTCAAGTTATAGGAACAGGTGGAAGTTGTTAAACCTAGAGGCTATTAGATCTTCTGTGAGCCCCTGGGTTTCTAAGCCCAGATGGTAATTAGATTGTGTGTCAATCTGAGAAAATGTAATTCTGTGATCAAACCAGATGCATAGCCCGTGCTGAGACTCGACATACTGTCAGATGAATTAGGTACTAACAAAATCATCTCAACTCGATTTAGGAGAAAGTTTTGGGCAAATATGAGGAATCCAAATTCACAAGAGCGTTTGTAGCACCAGATGGGCATATGAGCTTAATGCCTAACCCTCTGGTCTGAGGGACCCACCAGCCTCTTTCCAGAGATGGGTTAATGGTCTGTTAAGTGAGCTGAACACATTTTCACAGCCCACACTGATGACGTTGCTATATTAAGCCAGAGTGCGGATGAGCATCTGGAAGTCTCAGATTGGTGCCAAATTGATCTGTAAAGCTGGGCTTGTGGGGAAACTGAGCAAAGGGCCATTTGGATGTCTGGGATCAAAGATTAGGGAAACAGGCACATGAGTCCTTTGGAAGGAAAAGAAGAAGCTTGTTGAGATTTTCAAGTTTCTGCTACTAAAGAATGAAACCACTTCTGACCAAGAGACATTTGGGAGCTGTGTGCTTTAGGAGGTTCTGCCAGAATATCTGAGGGCTAGCACTAATAGGCCAGCAGATGAATAGTGCAAAAGGAAAACATGTAAGGGACTTCCACTACAAATCAACTGAGTTTTCGTGTAATGACGATAGAAAGCATGACCAGAAGGTAGTTCTTTTGCTATTAATAGAGTTTTTAGAAGTTTTAAATAAATTTCCCCAGATCTTTCTTGGGGGGTTACCTTCTTGGTCCCTAAAACAACTTGGTGAAATCCAGTTTTTTCTACTTAAGCTGGTGGGGCAAATACCATTCACATTTAGTTGAAAGCCCAGGACATTGCAATGGGTTTGGGTGTGTGAGTCATTTACTGACCAAAATTACAGTCTAACAAAAAGCTAGTTATACTTGTACCATCGACCTGGAGTGAGAAATAAAGAAATTCTTGATGAAGCCAAGGGTCCAGAGGGTCCTGGGAATAGCTCAGGATTACATAATTTGGTGGAGGGATTGGGAAGGTGACCTTTGCTGAAATATCTGATTCCCCCGCCGTCATTCATAGAGTGCACATACTCAAGGGTTGCAAGACTCAGAAATGAGATGCGGTTGCCTACATTTTAGGCCTTTCATAAAACTTCTAAAAATAGGTTAAAAGTGAATACAAACTAGAAACCAAACAACCAGGTAGCCAGGTCCTCTGGGGGTCAGCAGGCACTGTGGAGGGTTTATTCCTCACCGTGAGTCTATAACTGGCCATTTTCTAACTTGTTTCAAAGAAGTAACTCATAGTGTTGCCTGGACCCCAGAGATTTAAGATGCTCCGGAGAAATGGAAACATGCTGCAAATTCTTTACTGACTTCGAAAGACACGAATGTAAAAACCCTACAGCGTCTGCCGTGGATGTACATACCTATTATAAGGAAACTACAGGTCTTGCAATTTTACAATTTCCACAGGACATGTTTACTGAGTACTGCCCTGTGCCACACACGGTGCTACATGAACCAGCAGAAAAAGAATCTCGCCCCTTGTGGTGAGAGATGGACTCACAAATGCAAGTACTGTCAGAGCACCAAGAAGGGAGGGGCTGGCTCTACTGGGGCAGGCAGAGAATCAGCAAAGTGTTCTCGTAAGAGGTGACACTTAATCTGGGTTTTGAAGCATGAGTAGGATTTATTGGCCGAGGGAAGAGGGAGAGGCATGCACAAGATGGCAGGGCTAGTTCCTGGAGCAGAGGGAAGGCCAGGAAGGGAAGGCGGGATTTCCTGGGAAGTGTGGAAAGTGGCTTGAGCCTAGCAGAGAGGAAGGGAGGAGTGGACCTTTGGGAGTTCCGTGCTGCCTGGGGAGAGCCGAGGTCCTGGGATACTGTTATGGCATCTCAGAGGGAGAGAGTGCATGGAGGTTAGAAGCAGGGAATCTTGGTGATCACTTATGTTTAGAGGGTGGGGGGAGGAACAGGAGCCCAACAGGAGGCAGAAAAAGAAGAGTCAGAATGGGAGAGAGAGCCAGGCAAGTTCACCAAGAGAGGGGCGGGAGGAGGAAGCCTGCAAATTGGCCCCTGGATTCGGTGGTTAAGAGTTGCTGGTGACTTCCAAGAGAGCAACGAGGGGGTCAAAGTCGCAATCTTTCAAACATGACAATGAAAGGAAGGAAAGAGCAAGTGGGAGAGGGCAAAAAGGAGAAGGCTCAGCAGGAAAATCAATGGTACAAGGGAAGGAGAAGGAAGAAGGGGCAGGAGCACAGACAGGAGGCAGGTGGGGAGAATGAAGACAGACCCTGAGATGGCGGTAAGGAGACTGGACAGAATTTGTACTTGTTGGCCTCCATCTTCACAGTACAAGGCAACCCAAGGTCATGATGTCCAAGGAGTTGGGAAGGCCACTAGTGCTTCACAATCAGGGGTAATTGTTTCAAAGAGATCACATAAATCCATGAATGATTTACTTTGTAAAAATACATTAGAGCAGACTCAGGGTTATCCTTACAGTTAAGTTCTTAATGCTTTTTTATTGTAAAATACAAGTAACATCAAATTTACCATTTTAACCATTTTTAAGTGTACAGTTCAGTGGTTTAAGTACATTCACATTGTCGCACAACCATCACCACCATCCATCTCTGGGCTTTTCTATCTTCCCGAACTGAAACTCTCATTAAACAATAACTCCCCATTTCCCCTAACCCCCAGCCCTTGGCAACCACCATTCTACTTTCTGTCTATGAATTTGACTACTCTAGGAATCTCATATAAGTGGAATCATACAATATTTGTCCTTCTGTGACTGGCTTATTTCACTTAGCATAATGTCTTCAAGGTTCATCCATCTTGTTACACATGTCAGAATTTCCTTCCTTTTTAAGGCCGAATAATATTCCACTGTATATACATACCACAGTTTATTTATTCATTCATTATTGATGGACACTTGGGTTGTTTCCACCTTTTGAAGATTGTGAATAATGCTGCTATGGACATGAGTGTACAAATATCTGTTTCAGTCCTAATGCTTTTTTGAATGGGAGATAAAGAGTTACAGTTAAAGCTAGTGATTCAGGAATTGTACATAACCTTCAGTCTTCTCTAGGCTGCAACCTGAGAACCTTAACAGTGTGGTGATGGTGATATTTTTGCTTAATCAACTCCTTCACTGGTTTATATGTAAACTAGTTGTCTGCTCTGTTTACTAAGGCCAAGGAAAGTGTTTTTTTGGATGAACTTTTAAACTTCTTTGGGCTGCACAGAAAAGGCGTGAGGGCCTTCTGTACTTTAGCCAAACTCAGCTTTTCTCAGTTCCTTAAACGCTGCTCCTCTCCCTCCTGTAGGCATTTGCACATGTGCTCCCCCTCCATGCCTCTCTCCACTGCCTGGGGCACCGGGGGCATGCCTCTTCACTCCCACTCATCTTTAGGTCTCCTTAGGGACTTCAGTTCCTCCAAAAGCCCCCTCTGCCCCTCTAGACTAGGTTGGGATCCACTACCTGTGCTGCCCCAGCACCCAGTAATTACTCTCTTGCAGAGGGATTGTGGGTTCCTCTCTCCCACTAGTTGCAAACTCCATCCATCTGCTCATCTTTGGATCCCTGGCCTAGCCCAGTGCTCAGCACATAGAAGATGCTTGGAAGAACCACTATGGATGAATGAGAGGGACAGATACACTTTGGATGGGTTATCTGGGGATGCTCTTCATGATGTGGCAGTCATTACTGTGCAGAAAACAGGCTGGAAGACCACAGAGCCAGCGCAGAAAGAGCTTGGTGTTTGGGTCTGTCAGGGCTGTGTCTGCTCATCGTTAGCACATTAGCCCAACATGGTTTCTATATTTGTACACTTGCCTTAAGGAACAGTAGTTACTTTTGGTTGTTTTTAAAGGTTGAGGAGTTTGAAACATGGCATCTTTTGAAAGAAGGTTATTGGACTATAAAGAAAAAATAATTGTTGGATTTGATAGGTGAAGAATAACTACTTAGACTGAAATGAAAGCAGTTGAGAAAGCAGCTTATTTACTGAAAAGAAATTTGATGTTGGATTTGCACCTCAACTTCAAAATTTGAAATATAAGAAGGCATTTAGGTATTTATTGCAGAATTATCTATAATATCAAAAATGGAGGGCAATGTACATACTCAACGGGAGGGGAGTGGTTAAACAAATTATACTGTATTCATAGAAAGAAATTACTTAAAATAATGTTTAATAACACAGGAGAATTATCCTAATATAATATAGCAAGTGAAAAAACTAGGATTCTTTCTCTGGTGAGATTAAAAGTGATTTTAATTTTCTTTTTTTATACTTTCAGCATTTCCCATATTTCTTTTTAAAAAAAATTTTTTTATACTTCTGTGAATTTGCCAAATTCTCTGAAATGAGTATGCATTATTTTAATAGTGGGAACAAAATGGCAGCATGGGCAGGTCTTTATTTGCATGTGGCAAAGTGGAAAGATGACAGGGTTTGCGTTCAGAGGATGCTCAAGTCCACATCTGTTTCCTACCGATCAGGTGACACCGGGTGAATCACGTGACCTCTAGGTGAGGCCTTAGTTTCTCATTCTGGATCTGCTCTGGGGGAGAGAGGGAGGAGAAGACAGGGACGTTCCCGGACCTACCTCAAAGTTGAAGCTGTCAAGAGCTGGGTGGAGCTTCTCTCTGCAGGTCAGGCAGTCCTTCTGACAGCTGCTGGACACGCTGGAAAAGAGGCTGAGCAGCAGAAGGTCACAAAGCAGGATTTTCATGGTGCAGGAGCTGGGAGCCAGTTGCTAAAACACAAGTGAGGGTGGGTGGCAATTAGAACAGCCATTCTGTGGGGGCCAGTAGGGGCTGGAGACTCTCACACAGGTGATGCAAGAAAGATACTCTTTGGAGGGCACAGCGCCAGGGCCTGAGGTTTACCTCCCAGGAGGAAGTGGATTGTCAAGGGCACAGGTGGCCCGCTCCTGTCAGCCAGGACTAACGTTCATGCAGGAGCTGGTGTCTGGGCTCCTGGGGAGAGCATCTCTGTGATTGCTGCCACCCAGCTGGCCTCAATGTGCATGAGCACTTCCAGGGAGCTAAAGGCCTCACTTTGCAGCTTACCAGTGTGTGACCTTAAGACAACCTCTCCAAGCCTGAATTCTCCTAGCTGTAAAAGGGGAATAGTGGTCCCTGCCTTGTCACAGGGCTGTTGCAAAGATGAGATGAGATCTGCAAGGGAAGTTTTGCAAGAGTGAGATGTGTCAAATGTGTGATTTATGAGTGACTCGTGTACCTCATGTCATCCTGCCCAGCCCTGGCCAGGAATGCCCAATGTCTCAGAATCTGCTCTTCCAGGAAGCTTCTGCCAGGTTCCTTGTCCATTTCCCCGCTAGACATGATCCCGCTTCCTGAGCACAGGGCCAATGCTATGTTCACCTTGCTATTCTGTGAAAAACAGGACCAGGCATGTGAAGTTATTTATTGAAAAATGAACAAAGATACTATTCTAAGATGATAGCTCCAATGATTATTAGTTATATCAGTAGTTTCTATTCTTTATGTAGGATTGCCTGAAAGATGTGCAGTTTTTCCTGTTCCTCTTTAAACTGATCCTGTGATCAAGCCTCCTGAATCAGAAAGCTATTTCCTTGGACTGCATCATTTAGGGTCCCTGTAGAACCATCTTTACTGGGAGGATTAAGTGGAAAGGGGAACAAGGGAACTTTCTAGAAATGTTGTGAATGTTCTTGTTTGAGCTTTAGGTCACGGGGGTGTATACATTTGCCAAAAACCATTGAATTGTACATATAAATTCTGTGCATTTCACTGTATGTAAATTTTACCGTAATAAAGAGTTCAGTGTAGGAAAACAAAAATAATTGCCTTTTCACCAGACTATATTGAAAAAACGTAGAAGCCTTTGCTATTTAAATGCAGTCTGCGAAATAAATGAAATAGAGACCAAAAAAACAATAGAAAAAATTAATAAAACCAAGAGCTGGTTCTTTGAAAAGATCAACAAAATTGACAAACCTTT